AATAAGACAACAGGTAGAGGAAAAGCTGTGGACTCAGATGCGCTGGATTCATTCTATGACTGACTAGCTTGTGTTCTTAGACAACTAATTTTCTTGAGTCATCGTTTCTTCACTGGTAACATGGGCAAATCCTTTCTTTCAAGGTTGCTGTCAGAGTTAGGTGAGACAACTTAGCTAAAATGCCTGGTATAGGGTAGCTAATTTCTTTACTGAGATATAAATGACGATCAAAAGTTGTATATATTTAAGGTATACAACCTGATAGCCTTATACACATAAACGTTATGAACTATTCACGATCGCCAAGCCAATCAACATATCCATCACCTCATATCTTTATTATTTCCCTTTTTCCCCCTTTGTGGTGGGAACACCAAAGATGTACCCTCTTAGCAAATTTCAGGTGTGCAATACAATATTGCAACTCTAGTCACATCGCTGTATACCATGTCTCCAGAAACTATTCAACTTCTTGTTCCCCTTTTTTGGCTTCACCCTGAGACAACTTAGCAAACCCTAGTTGCCCGCTCTCTGTCCTGGCAGGATTCCCTGTGTCACCCCACATCTCTATTTCTTATCATGGACATCGTCCATATTGCTCTGGATATGGTGAGAGTCCCAACCCTTTAAGGTGCACGTCTGCTGCTAAGGGATTCAACTATAGGGGGCCTGAGAGATGAAAGGCACTGGTCTCATACAATGCTTTCCATGAACAAAACACAACGGGGTGGCTAAACATCAGGAACCAGGCGTTAGGGGGCCATTTCTGACTTTGCTTCTGAGCTGGTCACACAATATTTGAAATCCCCACCTCAGTTACAAAACAGGGCCAAGTACATTTGCTGTGTATGAACCCTACAGGGATGTTTGATGGATTTGCAAATTACTTTGGAGCTCTCCAATGAAAGGTGCTATAAATTTAAATCACACAACCAGGAGAAAACACACTCAGGATAAGCCACTCTGAGTAACCTAGTTTCTTTCCTAAGCATAAGCCAACACTCTTGAGATTCATGGGAGGAGCTTCCTCTGAGTGGGGATTTTGAGATGTCTGGGAATGACAATGCTGTCATATTCACAACGAATAGTTTCATCCCTGAATAAGTTATTCAGTGCCCATGGGGCACTCTGCAAAGAAGCAAATGGCCACGTATTTCCAGAGTCCAGTGTGAAAGCCTACTTTCAGTTTTAAAAGAGATTTGGGAGAAGACATTTATCTGAAATCCTTTATGTTTAAACCTTCAGAAGAGAGAATCTGTAAAATCATTTCCAACAAGCTTAAATGATGACATCACTAATTCTTATGAATAAGTCTCAGTGGTTCTAAAAAAAACCTGTTTTGCACTGTGGCCCCTCCAGCAATATCCTTGTTTCCTTGCATGAAGAGATGCTGAGAAAACGCACAGAGAGCGTCTAAATGTTAAGAGAATAAAGGCTTTGGCGGGGGTTGGTGCGAGACAATCTTAAAAGAAGGTGCCTTGCTTCTTTCTTAGAAAAACTGGCATAATTTTCATGACCTCTCTTGAAAGAGATCCCCAATTTTCAAAAGACCAGCTAACCCAAACCTTCCCCTTGCTGGATGTAGGTGAAACAATGATAGGAAGCATAGCAATTAACTGCCTTTCTGTCTTGGAAGATGGAGGTGAATATTTGAGGCCTAAAAATGACAACTGAAGCTCAAGAAACTCCGAATCCTATTAATTTTGAGTGAATAAACAAATGAATCAATAAGGTACACATCACTGGTTTATTCATTCAGTTATTTATTAATTCAATAAATAACTGTGGTCATCTATTGTGTGTCCCAGACCCCCCTGGGGGAGGCGCTAAGCAGTTTCAAAACCCTTGATGGTGTCTCACTAAAGCAACCAGTGGGATTTATCAACATCTAAGACAAGCTTCAAGCTGTGCCACGCGATCCCTCGAGATTTGGGAGGTTGACGGAAGCAGGTAAATGTAACGAAAATGCATCTGCTATCGGTGCTTCTGAAAAATTCCAACTGCTGGTGCTATGATGGGTACAATATTTTCCTAAAGTGTCCACTGAGAATCATTCTGACCTTTCTCTAAGGGCTTTCTCATGGGTACATCCCTCAGGGTGGAAAAAGTAAGGAACCGACAAGATACTGATACGGACGAGAAAAGCCTAGACTACTTCCATTCAGGGACTTCCTGGAACTCCCTATATTGCATTACACGCCGCCTCTTCCCGTGTCTAAGACGTATTTTCCAGGGTTCCCGGACCAGAAAGTTCACTCCTTACCTGTTCTGTAGCCGGTGTTGTTAAGATACACAGCAAAAGTCCGAGGTTCATGCATCGCCTGCCACGAGGGTGAAGAGCAGTTCTCATTGTTGGTGAAGACGTTGTGGTTGTGCACGTACTTCCCGGTGAGCATGGAGGACCGGGACGGGCAGCACATGGGCGTGGTCACAAAGGCATTGGTGAAGGTGGTCCCCCCATGCTCCATGATCTTTCTCGTTTTGTTCATGACTTGCAGGGACCCTGAAATGCACAATCCCAGCATTGTTTAGCAGTGCGCCCCCCCCACAAACACTCATTTATGTCTTGTCACTCAGTGACTCTGTTCCCCTGATTTATTAATTTCCTCCCCTGGGCTTGAAGGAGTCTATAATTTCACCAGCTCTCATTTCCAGCACGAAATTAAACATGTGGGATCCTACCATCTCAAGTATTTTGCAGAATAATAAACACATTTCAGCTTCTCCCCTTCTTAATCACAATAAAAAAAGAAAAATAAAAAAAAAGGGGCAGCCTAATCTGATAATTAAAGCTAGACTTCTAGATATGGAGCAGATTCAAAGGCCAGCCGCCCTTTGAAGATTACCAGAGAACAATAGCCTGTTACACAGAGCATCAACCCCGGAGCCCACCCCACAGGCACAAAGCTAGTGACACTGCAGAGACAACTAGTGTTTTAATCATAGGAAATAAAAGAGGCAAAAAAAAAATTTTTTTTATTAAGCATAAGTCCCTCTATGCTTAATAAATAAGCCTGTATTTAATTAAAAAAACAAACAAAAAAACCCCTTCAATGTAACTTGGTATCCTACGGCAAACTCCCCAAATGCCTGCCACTTTTTCTACCAGGATAGCACTGCCAGTTTATATTTTCACCTGTTTACATGTAATTTTAAAAGACAGGTTGTGTTCTTGTGAAAGAGCTACAATTCGAATCCACTCCAAAGTATTTGTTTAGGAGCACAATCTTCCATTTTAACGGTAAAAGATGAAACTGTAACATAAGATTGCAGAGGAAGAAAAAAAAATTCGATTTCGATTACCCTATCCAGCCAAACACTGCCGCTGAAACACATCCAAATACTGCAGAAAAAAAGCACAGGCCAGAATTCAATAGCCTTTTCAGAACTTGTCAAGAAATGCACTACAGAGCACTACAGCCAGGCCCACTGCATTTGATTCCTGGAGCCTCACATTTCCAACAGGTCCCCACTTCTTCCAAAGAAAGGGAGAAAGTCTGTGCAGTTTTCCAGCAAGTGAAGGAAATCGTAATGCAAACCAGGCAAGCATTCAGAGGAGGAGAGACGTGTGCCACCGTCCAAAGAGCCACAGTTAGCCTGATTTTTTTCACATACCAGCTTTTACCCTTCATGTGAAACATAGAAAAACAGGAGGAAGGTTTCGAATTGGGTCTTTTTTAGAGTTCCCTAAAATATGCTTCACTTTGGAGGACTCCTAACTGCCTTTTCCAAACCTCTGGATGTCTTCAGGGGCTCAGGCAACCTTTCTGTAATCAGTGAATAACGGAGAGAGCGCCTATTTCATGCGGAACATTCTATCAACCTTTCACTCTGGGCTGGTCCCCAAGTGTAGCATTAACAAAGGAAATGGAAAATGGTGCGCTGCCTCTGGTCTTCAGTAGTAAACTACCTAGAAGAGAATGAACACATAAAAATCTCTTGGAGATATCTGCAAAGCAACTTACACACAAGAGTGTGGATACAGCAGTGTCTCTGAGGATAGAGGGGACCGGGAGTGAATGTCTCATGCGAGTTCTGAAGCAAGAGATGAGGACAAGCGGAAGGAGAGGAGGAAGAAAAACGTGGATGGGCGAAATGGATTGTGGGGAGAATGGGAGGATGCTAAGAAGTAAGTCGAGTGACAAGCACGGCACTCTGATGTCCTGGAATCGAAAAAGAAATGGCGGAGTCTTGTGATGAGATGTGGGAGGTGGAGTTAGCAAAGAGCTGGGAGGTTGCGTAGAGATATTTGGATCTGACAGAATAGACAAAATGAAGGCAGAGTTGGCAAAGGCATGAACAACATGCTAAGAAAAAGTCTTTGAGAGGTGCTGCTGTGGCAACGTGGCAATGGAGGGCATGTTCAGAGGAGGGGACAGGCTGGACCATCGAGGGTAGAGCCAAGAAGTAGCTAAAGCCATCTGGGTATGAGGTGAAAAGAACCTGAACTGGATTGTGTCTAAAAATAGAGCGATTCTCAGAAGCAGACCCAAGAGACTTCGTAATGCATCAGAAGGCTAGGAGTTGACTAATACCTCAAAGTTTTTGGCATGGGAAGAAGACCGCAGAAGAAATTGTTTCGCTGTTGGTCAAGAAGTAACTAAAAAGAAATATGCACTATAGAAGACCATTTTAGAATCGCTGCATTTTACATTTGTGTTGGCTGATCATATAGGGGGAAACATCCTGGACAGAAATACATGAGTAGGATCATGGGGTTGGGGAGAGAGTCCCAGGTTTGATGAAGAATCTAAAGATGCTAAAATCTGTTCACTTCATCCTCTCTCCTCTTTAGATCTCTGTAGTGCTTACTGACTGTGATATCTTGAATTTTGGGAAAATTCAGCAAACACTGTTGATGGACTTTCATTGCCTAGTATCATCTTCATTTCAAAGGATGAGCTCTTTGAGTTTCCTTTCTGAGCCTAATTCCTAGCTGAATATAAATTAGAAAAAAATAGAGCTGGAGGCCATCTTCCAAGGTCCTGAATCACAAAGCTACAATCTTCAATTCACAGACTAATTTGGATGACAAATATGGGACAATAGGTGAAGGCCTGATCTAATGTTAAATAATATATAAACAGGGTAAAATGTAGCCCAGTTCAAAATTTCTGGAATTATCCCAGCCAGGACTCTTGCCTCATTCTAAGGATCACACGTTTCTTAATTAACTAAACTGACTGTGTCGAGGTCCTCAACAATCCCTGCCAAGGCTCTGCTTCCAACCAGTCCCCATGTCAAAGGGACCGATGAAGACATTTGGTCCCCACCGAGACCACTGCAGTTTCACCACTGGGGCTCCTGAAAGTGAGCATCTGGCTTGAAGTTTCTCAGTAAAGAGAAGATTCGGAGACAATCTTCCCCCAACTTTAAAAATCACCCGGAGAGCACGTTAAATGGCAGAATTCTGGGCCCACCCAGAGAGATTGACTTAGGAAGACCAAGGAAGGGCCAGCGAATTTCTAACATGCTCCCTGTCCACGGGCCACACCTGGAGAAGTATTCTAGGCTGGACACAGAATCAGGGATGCCTAGAGCTGGGAGAGACTTTAGTGGCTGCCTTGTTTGAAGTGACCCAAGTGGCTAGACCACTTCCAAAGCTGTAAGATGCTGTAGACAGAAGAAACCACTTTTCACACTTACTCTCAGGTTCTCCATTAAGTGCTTCACCTACATCAACCCATGTAATCCTGACAATAACACTTTGTAGTGGGTGCTATTATTTATTGTTCCCATATCAGGGATGATGCAAATGGTTCAGAGGGTGAGACAACTAGTGTTTTAATCATAGGAAATAAAAGAGGCAAAAAAAAATTTTTTTTATTAAGCATAAGTCCCTCTATGCTTAATAAACAAGCCTGTGGACTCTTACGGGAGATACTAACAGACACTAATGCCTGCCTCCTGCTCTCTTAAGGACTGAAGTGATCTCAGTAGCTGAGGCCCCTGTGAAGGATGAGAGGGCTAAGACGTGTCTGTCTTCAGTCGCTGACAGCCATATCGGTATTAAACATGGCCTCTGATCTCGGTGCATTCTCTGGCTAGACGCGGATGATGGAGCACAGGGATCATACCTCTTCCCTCTGCTGAGGTGAGGTAAGCTCAAAGCCCCTCCTTCTTTATGGTGGTGCAATGATTATTATGGTGGTGCACTGCCTTCCATCGCCATGCAATCGCCCCACTGATTTTTCCGTAGGAAACGCTGCCGAAAGCTATTCTGTAATAAAACGCATACTTATGCATTTATGGTTGTTGAGAAGAGTGGACAGGACAACATCCTGTCCTATCGTTGGAATGGTGACAACGTCCCTTTGTTTTAAGCTGAAGCTCCTCACGTCTCTGGGTTTCAGGCCTTTGGTGCCTAAAATGCAAATAGTGCTGGTTCTTAGTTATTAGAACTATCATTGCAGAAGGATGATAGGAAGCTTAAAACTTGTAACAATAATCCCAAGGCAGGGCTTAGGAAGATAAGAACGAGAAGAGAAAGAAGCCTGAACTTGAACTTGTGGGGAGACACCTGGATTTTGCCACAGATTGGCTTGAGCACGCCACTCACCCTCTTTTGATGTGTTTCTCACCTGTAAAATGGAGCAAATAACAGCTCCCCTGCCTAGTTCACAGGCTCACTGAGGAGCAAAGGGCACGGGGCCGCGATTTCGCCTTGTGCTCACCTCAGTCCCACCACATTTAGTATTCTCCTGCCTTTTCCATCTCCCTCTCTGTAATCTACATCTCAATTCCAAAAGCTGGGATGAAAGTAGAGATGTCACCATAGACTGAACGTGTCCCAGAAAATCCATCTGGTGAAACTTAAGGCCCCATGTGTCCACATTAGGAGGCGGGGCCTATGGGAGGTGATTAGGTCATAGGGGAGGAACCCTCATGGGTGGGATTAGTGCCCTCATAAAAGAGACCCAGAGAGCTAGCTCCCTTGTCCCTTCCACCATGTGGGAACACAGTGAAAAGAACAGCCATCTATAAACCAGGAAGGGGGCCATCACCAGATACCGAATCTGCTGGCCCCTTGGTCTTGGACTTCCCAGCCTGTAGAACTGTGAGAAATAAACCTAAGTTGTTGATAAGCCACGAAGCCACCCAGCCTATATAGGGTGTCTCATTACAGTAGCCTGAATGGACGAAGACAGAGGTCAACTTCTGTTTTATTCCTGAAGACTTAAAATGTTAATGCTGGCTTGCAGTTAAGCCCATCGAATCTTTCCCTCTCCACACAAACTGCCCCCCCTGCCCCCCCCCCCCAAGCAAGAAGCCTGACTTCATTATCATTTAATGTTGTCCTGCGAGGTGGAAGCCTGACAGGGATGCTATGAAGTGACTGTAATTAGTCCCACAGCTGGCGTGGGGGCACTGCTGACCAGGCTGGCTTGAGGACAGGGGAGGTCTAGGCCACAGCTGAGTCCGAAGACTGCCAAGAAAAGCTGTCCCAGTGCCAGAGTTCCAGATTGGGACTGGAGACCTCTACCCCATTGCTCCTGCCAGGGT